TGTTGACATTTTATCGCATTTCTGCTAATTTTCCGTTCCCTTATTTTTTGAGCACACCTAAATGAGAATGGCATTTCGTACTGTTCTCTCTTCTGCTAGTTTTACTACTAAAAAGTACTGGAACACAACTATAGTGTCGTAGGGTATAAAAACAAGTTATTTCAACATATGTTACGATGAGCAGCGCTGATGCGACTCTGCTTTGCCGATAAATCGAATACAACGCATTCGATTTCTACATACGATAGGTCGAGAGTCGGTTTATATACCCCTACACATACCATGAATTGGGCTGAGTGTGTAGGGCTCGTCATAGAAAACGAGAGCGCTGTATTCTTTGCAAGTAGTTTGTGCAAAAAAAATGACAAAAAAGTAATTTGGTGGAAAATCAGCGTTAATTTTCATCCGTTTGCACGACAGAATGTCGCAGGTTAAGAAACTTGCCGTGAAGTGAACAAAAATGAAATTGAAACAATAACAAGTGATTATAGATAACAAAAGAAAAATTCTGTATGTATAAGACCAACTATATATAGCGAATTGGATGATTTGTGTAAATAAATAATGTAACTATTAAGGAAAGCCGACAGATCGGAGAGGCTTCCCAAGCATTTCGAAGCATTTGTAAAACGATTATAAATTCTTAGCTTTTGTCAATTGTCAATAATATTGTAATCTCCTGCCGCTCCAAACAAGTACCGCCCTTCTCTTTTCATCGTTTAAGAGAGAACATCAGCAGCAAAAGAAACCAAACAAAAAACAATTTAAATATAGGAAATTATCGATTTGTGTTATTGTTGTTGTTCTTATTCCGTCTATGTGATAGCGCTTAATGTCATTGTCAAATGAACGAAACAAGCTTCGCCCTCAAAAATATTTTCCAGACGACAAGACAGCGAATTAGACAAGTTACCAGATTTCTTCCTATTTAACGCCACGCAACGAACCAGCTCTAAGACGTTCTGTTATCGCCACACGCACATTAACAAAAAGTTTAATATATTCGCGTTAACTGGTTTACAATCTCTAGAACCATGGATTGGATAATTAACGATGAAATGGGATTGACCGTGGGTCATGTTGTTGGCTGGGCTGCTGCATCCGCCATGGTCATAGGCGGTGTAATCCCCTACGTGCCTCAGTATTTGGAAATCAAAAAGACCCAAGATGCCGATGGGTTCTCTTTACACGTTTGCTTTGCGCTGCTTATTGCAAATTCTTTGCGTATATTATTTTGGTAAGTCTAAAGGAAATATGAAAAACATTAAACATAGAAGCATAATCATGTGGAAGATCTGGAGGTTTTTTTCTAGTTGGAGCGGAAATTTAAAGCTCAAATTAAGGCTTAACTCTCGTTTAGAGAAAACTTTTTTTTACCTGTTTAAGATAAGGTATTTTCATTCGAAGAAAAAACTGGTTAAATTGATATTCGACCCATGAACATCTTAGGTAAAAACTCGGATTTCCAAAAATGGCGCAATATTTGACAGAGATATGGGTCCTTGAACCCGGACAACCCGGTTCAGATGAGTTCATTGAAATGATGTTTTCAATCGCAAGTCCTCGCCGTATGCTGGCTAATAAAAATATCAAATTTAAAAAATGTTTGGTTCGCCTACACGATGTATATCTAGAGAATATTGACAACAAAATTGGTTAAGTAGATCCGACTCTTAATTCCGGATTTTCGGTTCAATTATGTGGGATCGCAGGCCCGCCCAAGAAAAAATACTTTCCCGGAATCAGCTACCTCAGAGAAGATTTTAAAAAAATCGAAGAGTTTTTACTAAACTTGAGCTATGCCTTCGCTGTATAGAAAACGCGCCATTTGCGCTAATTTAATCGATTCGGAGATTTAAGTACAATATTCATTAAAATAAAAAACTCCACGAAATCGAAAATGACAAATCTCAAGCCTTGGCGGAGTGAAGCCTGTCTACATATACACGTACAAAATTAAAAAAAGCATTGGTTCGCCAAGCTGGTGTTGGACATACACCAAAGCAAAAAATTGAACTTTGAACCATAAATGTTGGCAAATTTCTTAAAGAAGAAGAAAATTTTCAATATTTTCGTCTAAAATAAGAAAACAAATTGCACTTTTTCGACACGATGTTTATAATTTTAATGTATATTGTTCAGCGACAACTAGTTCGACAACACTATACCGTTTTTATTTATGGGCTACATACATTGTTGAATAATAGTCGAACAAAACTGACAGTAGATGCTCTTTAATATATTTTAATAAATAGTGCAGAATTAAATGTTGGAGTGAATAACAAAGCTTTGTCATGGTTTTTACAAAGGTATATGTAATTGGGGAAAGTTTTTCGGTTTACAAACCATTATGTGGTCTACTGTGGATTTCCTTAAGAATCTTCTTTCGACTCATGGGGCCACTTAGTTTAAAAAGTAGTTCGAAATCTAAATAGCAAAAATTATATAGTTGATCAAATGTAAGTCGAAATGAGCAAGAATGGTGTACTGTCCTAATGTCGAATGTAGACCAAACGTGATATTAACAAAACACACGTATTTTTCGGTCTGCAATTGTTTTGAATGGAATGAATGCGGTATAGTAAGTTATTCGAGTCTATATGAGGATAAGTGTTGTGCCGAAATAATTTTATTCCACACCAAGTGGAAAACATTGTTGGCGAAAGTCTTTCCATTCATAAATGCCAGCATGCATAAACAACATTACTAAGCAATACATTTCGAACTATGCGTTAGTTTCCTCCTTATCATTTTATAGAAGCATAATAGAGACCTTATCAAGCTCCCAGTTTATGTATGTATATATATATATATATATATATATATATATATATATATATATATATATATATAAACAAACTAATTCCTTCAATGTTTACAAAGAATAGGATCACTTCATTTTATAAAAAATCTAAACGAGGTAAACAAATACTTCCATGAAAATCCATTCTCTATGCATTGTGATCGATGGTTTTGCAGACCCTGCTAATTGAATAAATACAGACATTTCGCATTGTGATAACAGGGAATCGGAATATAACACTTCTTCTTATTGACTAAGTCGAAAGGGATTGGCTGAACTATTATAATCTAATGTTACTTGAACACATGTACATTTATATACATGGTACCGCTGAGATATCATTATGTGTTGTTAAAGGTCATTTGTACATCAAACAATTGCTGATAACAACGTCAAGACAACAGAAAACGTCTACTAACTATATATATGAAACTGATTGCCTACTATTCGTTATAATATAGAAATAAACATAACATGCTTATTAATCTTCATTTTATTTTCCGAATCTTTCACACACATACTGATCGTTTTAATCTGCATGATAATCTATTTATTTGAATGATAATGTGCTAAGAGTGGTTCTCCCTTTTTGGCTTCTAAACTTAAGCAGCAACTTGATTTTAAGACTGGTTAGGTCATTTTGTCATCGAATCATAATACTTTTGTTGATGAAGAAGATTTAAATATGAACAAATTTGATTTATGTCACACAAAAAGTCAGATATAATATCGCCATATATGCCTCTTAACACGTTAACACATGGAATAAATTGTACCCATGATTCAACTGCTACTTTAACTACAAAGTTTTCGATGTCAAAAATACAAGAACAATTCACATAAAACTATCGGCATTGCTATATGACAAACACTTTTGTTCCGGTAACAGTGTATATTATATAGGGTATATAGCCCTCTCTGTTTGTTAAAAATTCTCATTGGATTAAATCTGTATATTTATTCAAATTTACTTTCTATTAAACTATTACTTTCTCTTTTGAATTTAAATAAATGCGCTTTTATTCCGCTTTGCTAAAGAAAACGTTTTGGTGAGGTTAGGAATTATAGCAGAATATGATGATGGATTCCTTTCTGTAGCTGCTATTTAAATGTCTTGAGATGAATTTCAATTATAAGGTCAGACCGAATGAAAAAAATTTAATCGCAAGTATTCCGCGATTGTTTTTAATGTTTCATCCGACATCACAAAGCCCAAAGCCGTAATATTCATTGGATTTTTTTTCACAAATACGTACACACTTGAGTTAAAAAGCGCAACAGCTTGGTTACTTTTTTGTACAATATAACGGTAGGCATATTATCCAAATTATTATTGGTTCCCAAGAATGAAATTATTATTTGGCTTTTGACTTGATTTGATTTTTACCCAACTTTTGGCATGACATTACACGAGCCAATTATTTACATGACAAATAACAAAGACTTAGGGATGACATTTTATCTCAACCTTTGTACGTTTTATTTTTAGATATAAACATTCATATGCCAAATAGTAGTATATTGCGTAACAGCAATGAGAGTTCTTCAAACCTGTTGATAGGTATTTTTTTCAATTGTTTAAAGACGTTTAAATGTCGCTAAGTTGATTGTTTTGAATGAGGGTGATTTGCTTTAGTTTTAATCATTATGCTTAAAAGGAAGTCTTGACCCTACTTTTACAAGAAATGCGCAGATACGAGTATAAGGAATTATTTTCAGTACGACCCAGCAAACGTTTTGGATGTTAAACGAATTATGGGTTATATCAGTATTCTTAAAAATATGTATACAATTAAATGCTCTTCGTTCAAGCTATGATAAATATTGTGCAATCACCTACGATGGGAGGAAATTCCTGCCGGTTTGGTGGACTTAGGGCCATATAACAGAGCCTATAAAACTCAACTAATTACTGATTGAAACACCTAAAAGGCAGACTTCAATATGTATAAAAGTAAGTAAGTAAGATCAACATCTTTGAGCCCTGTAAGACTCCTGTAGTGGGGTCCACTAAATTTTTCCACTTAACTTTTCTAGCAAAAAACTCTAAAAATATATACTTGACATATGCTCTCGAGCTTTTAACAAATTTATTGTTAGGCGCCAAGTGCTTAAAATACCTTACTAACTTTTTTGAACAGTCAATAAGCTTTTCTATTTCGGGAAGATGGATGTATACAAACCTTGTAATTGTGTCATGATCTGGCATGAATTGTTTACCTAGTGGAAGTGTCTTGATGTGGAGATGGAAGTAAATGCACACAGACGATACAGTCAGATAAACAACTGATTCACAACGACATTATATTGCGTTAACCCATTGAGTTGTTTTTACATTTGCTTCACTCCCGTGGACAAAAGCAAATGCCGAATAGACATCATCTGTGTCACTCATACTTTCGTCTCTTCATAACAACACGGCAAATAGTACCAGACTACAAAAACGAAGCATATCATTTTAAGAAAATTACAGTTAGGGTATAGTCTTTACTGACAACGGAGCTATCAGGAGCACACATCGTGGGAATATCTTAGGTGAAGGTGATAAAATTAGTGATTACAGGTGCACCTTTTTCGACTTCAACTACATACCTGATAGGGTTGGTGGTGAACGTTTTCTGGACGGTCTGGCCATATATACAAAAGATGGTAGAGTATGGCGCCGCAGCTAGTGTCGTCTGCCCTAATCCAATTATTAGACCCTCGTATAAACTCAAACTAAATCATATAAGTTATTATGTTCCTGACATAGCAACAAAATGGATAATGGCTCTTGAGTTAGCCCGAGGTGGTTCCTATTCGATCGATTGATAAAACTATAAAACACCGATAAACTCTTATTGTCGAAGCTGGTAGAAGACGACACTTGGACGACGACACAAGTCATCTAAGGACATCTGACCGGTAATCTGGTAAAACTATAAAGCACCGATAAGATCTTATCGCCGAAGCTGGTAGAAGGCGACACTTGGACGACGACACAAGGCATCTAAGGACATCTGGAGAAAAAGAACATGTTCTCTTCTATCAGTTAACAGGTCTGATCTCATAATTGCGGTAGGCACATTGACTGACCAAAATGAAATAATAAACGAAGAATGGGTAGAGGTCTTTAAATATCTACTATGCAGATGTACCAGATTGTCAAACAGAAGACATCGGCTATTTGGTAGGAGGGATATAGAAACAATAGATGAAAGCTCGCCGAGTGATGTAGCGGCCGACTCACCTGAAGCGACGCGTCCTTAAACTAAACCAAAACATCAGTCACATCGACCACGCATCTATCAAACACAATTGTCACCCCAAATTTTAAGATTGTAGCCCCCTCCAAACTCACCTCCATATACCAAACTCATCGCACAAAAAGTAACCCATATCGAATTTTAGATTTCCAAGTCTATTTCTTCCCCTAAAACCAGTACCATTTATTATTTTCGTTCAAAAATACTTCCAAACTCACCTCCATATATCAAACTCACCGCACAAAAAGTAACCCATATCGAATTTTAGATTTCCAAGTCTATTTCTTCCCCCAAAAACCAGTACCATTTACTTATTTTCGTTCTTTTTAGTAAGTATTTCCAAAAATACCTCCAAATCTCAATACTACACATAAACAGTATGTGTACATATTTCAGTATTTAAGCAGTATCCATTGGTTCAATACCATATGGTACTAAATGTAGTGATTTTTTTATTTTTATTTATTTCGTCCATTTCTCCCGAATAGTTCGAATTTCAAAAAAAAAAATGTTTCCTTTGGTACAACTGTCCTACACTCCATCGTCGGCCCTAAGGTTTGCCTAATTGAATTCACATAGACATATTTGCTATATGAACAAACAGTGGTTAATCTACCTATTCGATTGCAGGGTGATATTGTCACATTCTAATTAATTCATTTTTGATGAGAGAAGTTCAATATTCATGTGTGCACATGTCAAAATATTAGAAATGTTGATAATTTTGAAAATTGTCTTTGGTCATTAAGTGTTAAGCGATATTATTTCCTGCAAACTTAAGACGATAAGGAATATCGCGTTTGTGAACAGTCTGTCAAATTTCCATAACAATCGTGGTAATTAATTGCCACTTATCGTACACTTGTATATAAAAGGCACTGACTGTTTTATCACTTGGCTTGGAATGACTTGCTGTTTTGCTAAAGTTTGTGTGTCTGATAGTAATTGCATTATATTTCACGGAAATTATATGTAGTCTTTCTGGAAATGTTCACTATATTTTGAATAGATATTTTTAAGAGTAGGTCCATGTTTAATATAGTTCTAGCTGACCCAGTCCGCGTGGCTGGTCCGTTGCTTTAGTTCAGAAAGCCAATCGTTGTCTAGTGTGCTGGGCACGTTCCTCCCGTTCCTTTTGTATTTCTCTTATCCGTATTTTTCTTATTCTTCCTCCGGACAATTAAATATGATTCTGTATGTATTATCATTTGAAAAATGTTTAGAAAATTATTATTATATTACTACACAGTCTATATTCGAACTGTATTGAAGCACAAACGAAATAAAGGTGGCTTGCGCACTCAGTTCGTCAGGAAAGTTTGTTGTCGTTGTCTGAGCTTCATCGATTAATAAGTTTAGGGCAATAACGGCCAGAAGGCTATTAACAAACATTTCAGCCGCTAATAAACCTTAAAGAATTCCACTGCGTCATCGATATTTTCCGTTGTTCTTTAGCGGCGGTACCCGCTTTAATTCTTTGCAATCACTATTTTACCACAACAGCTCAAAGGGCTTCATCATTTTATTTATTGCGGTCCAAAAAGGTGCTTAACAAATCCCCAAACATGCATGTTGTTGTATTGAATTTGAATATTTGAAACGCGTTGTTTCTACAAATGTCCGATTTACCATCAAAGCACTGTACTTTTAATAAATCGATAAAAAAAATCATATATTGCTATCACTCAAATTATTTGTCGTCGCTAACATTGATATTTGGTACGAAGAACGGGAGGATATTGATTCCGATTGATATGTAGCCCCATGTATTAGTTCCGTCTGGACCTATCAACAGCTCTACTTAGATTTATTTCACAGAGGTACCCAACATCAACGTATGTTTTTTTTGGCATTTTATTATTAAATATATACTCGATTCTCCACACAAAATTTTCTGAGCAAACAACGATTTTATACACTGTCAGAACTACCTACTAATACAATATGGTTTATCACAAATGTAATCCTAAATAGCCCTATGCCTTCAGCGTCATTAACATTTAACTTAAAAGTGTCAAACGAATTGAAGGAAACGCAAAACCGAAATAAGTCGGCCAAAAACAAGAATTCATGGTTTTGTATATTTTTTCGTATATGTGAACTAAAACACGGATACTAATAACCAATTTTCCTCTTTTATATCTCTCCTTTTTGTATGAACTTGTTAACGGCCTATGACCATGTGACATTTCGTGTTCGATGTTACACAAAATTTATACAACAAACGCACCCTTATTATAAAGGGGTCACAATTATTTTTGTTTTTTCTTTAATAATCAAGATTAAGAAAAGATTAAAAAAATTGTTTTATCGCATTCGTAATACAGAAACCCTTCAACGTATTTATGTAGAATTGGCTTTATGTATTCTGATGGTAAAACACAACTCCAAATGAATTTTTTAATACATCTGGTTGTCAAATTGAATTTAAAACTAAAAAATTGCTTACAAAATTCAATTTTAGTTGAATAAGAAACATTCTTCTTGTTTAATGTGCAATTTAAATTCTAAGATTCTTCATTTATTCCTCATCCAGCAAATATTTCCATGATTTTTTTATGTACGAAGCTCAAATTATGTTTCAAAGTCCTCTGCGACGAAACAAATATTTTAGAGCTATATTTCCATCTGAACAGTTTTTTTTTTTTCAAAATTGATTGCCTGGTTTCTAGTATTAATATGGCAAAAGTGTTGATCAATAACCATGAGGTAATAGAAAAAGGAATACATGGGAATACATAAGTGATTCAACTCTATATGCTTCAGTTCCTTGACATCTGCAAAATTTTGGACAATCAGGTTAGTGTCATTTCAAGCACATATACATTTAAACCACATGTTAATGAAAAGATGTCGGTCACGAATGTCGCCAAATAAACATTTTTGTTTTTGAATTCTTCAGTTATTGCGAATATAAAATTTTTATAAATTAAAAAAAAAATATTATTATGTTCCTCGAGTCGAGTAATGGAGAAACATATTGACACAAATAACATATATTTTATTCGTAATGCCGTGAATAGCGTTATGTCTCTGTATGTCATTTCTGTCTTAATTCAAATTTAAATATTTGATTCGACATAAAAATGGGAAGAAGTAAGAATAATGATATTTGATCCGCCAACTTAGCGGTGTAAAAATAAAAGTATGATTGCCAGCTTCAAATTGGCTCTTCTCTAACTTTGATCTTTAGTCAACTGTGTAGCGGCTGATCTTAACATTTTATAAATATCTAGCAATAATTTGAATATTTTACTAATTTAACTAATTAATGTATAACTGTCAAAATTACAATTTGTTGTCAATAGGTATGTACGATAACATTTCTAATAAAAATTCCACAGTATCCTTTTCTAGTAGAATATTCTCCCTTACCTACAAATATTTGCAAAAAGTTATTGAACAAAATTCAGGATTTTAAAGGATTTAATTAATATATACTTACAATGAAATAATTTTAAGAGAAGGGGTTTTGTATTTGTAATAATAAAAATAGTGGGACACAAAAGAGACATATTACTCTTTAACAACGAAATTTATTTTAATACGCCTATACAACTGCTTATCTGCAACTGATTTGCAATTGTCCTACGCACTCACAGAAAGGGGGTTTTTTCAATCTCTATTTTATTATACTACTGTTTACAAATGTTGGTGAGGTTTGGTTGTTGGAATATAAAAAAGAAAACCCAAAATTTTGTAGTGATTGTGCTCTTGTTTTTACGTTTCGTTTTAGGTTCTCAAAGCGTTATGAGCTTCCGCTTCTCGTGCAAAGCCTAGTTATGAATGTGACTATGTTCCTAATGATACATTTGTGCGTCAAAGTTAAACGCGTCAATGCTAATGCCAGAGAACGCAATCTATCAGGTTTGTAGCTTGCCACTTAAATGTTTATGTTCTTATTCATCAACATATCGTATATATGTTGCTTTGCAGCAAATGATGAGATGCGTTTGCCAAAGGTTTTGATGACAGATGCAGACACGGCCGGATCCATTTCTATATCTACAGAAGCAGGTCCTTTAAAACGGAGTCGGTCACGACATTATTTAAGTGGTATGTATGATAAAGTTTGTATAATGCGATAGATATGTAGTTGTCCGGAACTTTTATAGTCCACACTATGTACCTTGTCACTAGGTAGATTTTGTTGAACTGTGTGTGTGTGCAATTATTTAGAACTTTATTTATTTTGCTTATGCCTAAGGACAGTTTTGAGTCTGAAAACGTCGTATGAATTTGTATATTTATTTAAACATTTTTGATATGAGTTTAAGAGAATATTTACTTAAAACGTAAGAAACGCACAGACCACATTTTCTGAATTAAATTTGTTTCGAAGATAGCAGAAAAGTAATTTTTGGATGTCGTACAATAGACAAATTTATATTTCATTTTCATAATAGTTATAAATGTAACACTTTATATTAATGCGTACTACGAAGTTTGGGAATTTTTAACTCCTTTTCTACTTTATAGCTATGCAAATAATAATAATAACAGGAAATTAAAATGAAAAATATGCAAAATAAGGCCTTTTTAACAATTTCGATTGTGTTTAGAAGATAAAATTATGATGGTACTAAATCATTTATGTGTTGATACTGAGATGATTTACTTTGATTTTCTTTTCATACCCTCAGCCATATGGCTAGAGAGGGTATATATCCAAAAAAGAGAGGGTATATATACGGTCCAAACATGCCTAGTCGAAATAACGGTTTTAGACCCTAGGACTCTTTGGACCAAATCCGTTTCAGGACATTTGAAGTCGATCTAGCGATGTCCGTCCGTCTTCAAATTTCTCACATCCCAATATTTTTATCAACCCAAGGTCGATCCGTTCCAAAAAATATTTTTTGCACAGAAAGAGAAGCGATAATCCGATTTTGCTCCAATTTTGTAAATCCTAATATTTCCACCACAAATGGTCAACGTTTTAAATAAGCAAAACGATTATAAAATGCGAAAAAAGCTTTCTATTCTCTTCGTATTTCACACATCACAATATTTTTATTTAACCAATGTCTGGTGTGAAGATGGGATATATCGGTCCACACCATTTTGTACCTCTCCCACTACGGGTCAAAATTTGAATATCCTTGAAGCTCATAAAACCCAAAATTAACATCCTCCCTAAGTGAAAGAAGTTTATTTTCTGTTTTCAAAATAAAAAGGCAAACTGACCACATTTTCAAACTAAATTATTACGTTTCAATTCTGATTTCACATAAATAGAGAGACGTCACAAATACAACGGCTTTTCTGAAAATTAGCCAACGAGTCAATTCCAATTAGTCGCGAACCAAAAAATAAAATAATGCCAATATTGTAACAATGAACTGTCAAGTTTAGTTCGCATTAGACAAAGAGCACGGGGAATATTCAGATGAGTTAGGAATACTAAAAATAGTCTATATTACAGAAGAATGTGTGCGTTAATTACACGTGAATGTAATGTAAAGACTGACATGGAACAGATTTCTTATGGAAAAAGGTAAAATCGCCTTTCATCCACATAACGGTGTACATACACTGTGTCACAACCTGGTGTGTACATTACGTGATAATACAAACCGCAGAAAACACAGCGTGCTTAACTCAGCGAATTTAGAAAAAAAAAATTAGACCGTGTTGTATACAGCAGTATACTAACGAACTTCATAGTTTGTGTGTACAAGTTCAAGTTATTGCATTAATACCATATTTTTGATCATTTCGACGTATGCTAGTATGCGTTAATGGCTATTTTTCTAATTCTTTGCCTTTGGATAACGGTGTACCCCACGGTTTACCTATCTCAGTTATACTCTGCAATATATACATAAATTCTTTACACAACTCGTGAAGTAAATTTAAATAGCTTAGCCGTTCACTACAATGTTGGGCTAGGGATGTAGGAGCTGTGATCCCTTCTAATAAAATATAACTTCTTCACCAATTTCACAGGAGAAAATGTCAATTTAATTCAATGTCCTCGATCAAATTACTATCAATATTCATCAACGGATGAGAATTTTGGGTCTATCATTCAGCAGAAATTGATTATGGAATGACCATACAAAACTGTTACAAATGTTACTTCTGTTGATCTGTTCTAAAACAAAAGGACCTCACATTGATACAGCAATTAATTTGGTGTACGGGACAATTACTCATTGTTGTTTGTGTGGCAGTCTTCGTCCACTTTTCTTCCAAGGGTTAGCTACAATCCTCGACATGATCACTTGGCTATAGTCAAAGATTTTCAAAGGTGAATTTGATTGTTAATGTTCTCAATCAATCACAATATTCGGTATTCTTATGATCTTAACCATGTTCTCTAACGGCGTTGAAACAAGGACTTCATGTTTGGCTAACTAAAAACACTGTTGGTTGCTACAATAACCGATTTTCCCTTTATGATGTGGAAGAAAATTGCAAAGCTAGTATATTCTTGCAGATGCTGGAACAGAGCATGTATGATCGGTATTTACATTCTAACAAAAGTGGAGTCAAGCTTATTATATCCCATGGTAGAAGAATACAGGTAGATGCATCTACGCTTAGGAACATTGATATGTAAAAAAAATGTTTAATGTTTCTTCAAAAATTAGTAGATTTGTATATGTATTCCTATACGACGCCAATCGGAGGTTGTTTTGATATGAATTTTTCAACAATATTTACAAATTTCAATAAATCTACCATGTTATATCCCAAGAATATTTGAATAACTACAAGCACTGTTGGTCTGTTCCAGAACTGCAAAAAATGTCAAAGTATTTACTACTATAACCGAAAAAAGAATTTCAAACTTAGAAATTTTTTGAATTTTCTGAAGAATTATCGCTCAATTTTAGGGAAATTGCAGATAAAAGCGTCCACAGAACAGAAACTAAAAATGAAGCGGTGTCGAGGCTGGGCACAAATGAAAGGTCTCGAGGAGTACTTTCCGAATCAGTGGACCTTATAGTCAAAAAGAATTTCAGACTTAGGAATTTTTTGCATTTTCTGAAGAATTATCGCTCAATTTTAGGGAAATTGCAGATAAAAGCGTCCACAGAACAGAAACTAAAAATGAAGCGGTGTCGAGGCTGGGCACAAATGAAAGGTCTCGAGGAGTACTTTCCGAATCAGTGGGCCTTATAGTCAAAAAGAATTTCAGACTTAGGAATTTTTTGCTTTCTATTCTCTTCGTATTTCACACATCACAATATTTTTATTTAACCAATGTCTGGTGTGAAGATGGGATATATCGGTCCACACCATTTTGTACCTCTCCCACTACGGGTCAAAATTTGAATATCCTTGAAGCTCATAAAACCCAAAATTAACATCCTCCCTAAGTGAAAGAAGTTTATTTTCTGTTTTCAAAATAAAAAGGCAAACTGACCACATTTTCAAACTAAATTATTACGTTTCAATTCTGATTTCACATAAATAGAGAGACGTCACAAATACAACGGCTTTTCTGAAAATTAGCCAACGAGTCAATTCCAATTAGTCGCGAACCAAAAAATAAAATAATGCCAATATTGTAACAATGAACTGTCAAGTTTAGTTCGCATTAGACAAAGAGCACGGGGAATATTCAGATGAGTTAGGAATACTAAAGATAGTCTATATTACAGAAGAATGTGTGCGTTAATTACACGTGAATGTAATGTAAAGACTGACATGGAACAGATTTCTTATGGAAAAAGGTAAAATCGCCTTTCATCCACATAACGGTGTACATACACTGTGTCACAACCTGGTGTGTACATTACGTGATAATACAAACCGCAGAAAACACAGCGTGCTTAACTCAGCGAATTTAGAAAAAAAAAATTAGACCGTGTTGTATACAGCAGTATACTAACGAACTTCATAGTTTGTGTGTACAAGTTCAAGTTATTGCATTAATACCATATTTTTGATCATTTCGACGTATGCTAGTATGCGTTAATGGCTATTTTTCTAATTCTTTGCCTTTGGATAACGGTGTACCCCACGGTTTACCTATCTCAGTTATACTCTGCAATATATACATAAATTCTTTACACAACTCGTGAAGTAAATTTAAATAGCTTAGCCGTTCACTACAATGTTGGGCTAGGGATGTAGGAGCTGTGATCCCTTCTAATAAAATATAACTTCTTCACCAATTTCACAGGAGAAAATGTCAATTTAATTCAATGTCCTCGATCAAATTACTATCAATATTCATCAACGGATGAGAATTTTGGGTCTATCATTCAGCAGAAATTGATTATGGAATGACCATACAAAACTGTTACAAATGTTACTTCTGTTGATCTGTTCTAAAACAAAAGGACCTCACATTGATACAGCAATTAATTTGGTGTACGGGACAATTACTCATTGTTGTTTGTGTGGCAGTCTTCGTCCACTTTTCTTCCAAGGGTTAGCTACAATCCTCGACATGATCACTTGGCTATAGTCAAAGATTTTCAAAGGTGAATTTGATTGTTAATGTTCTCAATCAATCACAATATTCGGTATTCTTATGATCTTAACCATGTTCTCTAACGGCGTTGAAACAAGGACTTCATGTTTGGCTAACTAAAAACACTGTTGGTTGCTACAATAACCGATTTTCCCTTTATGATGTGGAAGAAAATTGCAAAGCTAGTATATTCTTGCAGATGCTGGAACAGAGCATGTATGATCGGTATTTACATTCTAACAAAAGTGGAGTCAAGCTTATTATATCCCATGGTAGAAGAATACAGGTAGATGCATCTACGCTTAGGAACATTGATATGTAAAAAAAATGTTTAATGTTTCTTCAAAAATTAGTAGATTTGTATATGTATTCCTATACGACGCCAATCGGAGGTTGTTTTGATATGAATTTTTCAACAATATTTACAAATTTCAATAAATCTACCATGTTATATCCCAAGAATATTTGAATAACTACAAGCACTGTTGGTCTGTTCCAGAACTGCAAAAAATGTCAAAGTATTTACTACTATAACCGAAAAAAGAATTTCAAACTTAGAAATTTTTTGATTTTTCTGAAGAATTATCGCTCAATTTTAGGGAAATTGCAGATAAAAGCGTCCACAGAACAGAAACTAAAAATAAAGCGGTGTCGAGGCTGGGCACAAATGAAAGGTCTCGAGGAGTACTTTCCGAATCAGTGGACCTTATAGTCAAAAAGAATTTCAGACTTAGGAATTTTTTGCATTTTCTGAAGAATTATCGCTCAATTTTAGGGAAATTGCAGATAAAAGCGTCCACAGAACAGAAACTAAAAATGAAGCGGTGTCGAGGCTGGGCACAAATGAAAGGTCTCGAGGAGTACTTTCCGAATCAGTGGGCCTTATAGTCAAAAAGAATTTCAGACTTAGGAATTTTTTGCATTTTCTGAAGAATTATCGCTCAATTTTAGGGAAATTGCAGATAAAAGCGTCCACAGAACAGAAACAAAAATGAAGCGGTGTCGAGGCTGGGCTTTATTAACCCTTTGCGAACCGGAGAAAAATCACCTTGGTTTGTGTCTTTGCTAATTAAATTTAAATTTATCTTAACGGACATTCTAACAAAAGTGGAGCCGAGATTATTACATCCAAAGTAAGCCTACAAATTACAATACGTAATCATAATATAATTTATTTATTTTAGATGAAAAAGGACATAAATGCCTACAAATTACAATACGTAATCATAATATAATTTATTTACTTTAGATGAAAAAGGACATAAATGCCGATTATCTGCAATTGTCGGATTTGCTGCAATGGAAGGGTGTATATGTATAATTTGCCATGGTTCTGATTGGTGCAAAAAAATTGCCTTTACCAAATAAATGTGCACAACAATATTGGGGTTGACATTTTTGCAAAATGCTAAGAGTTACATCGTGATGAATTTTTCGAAGGTTTCTCAGGATTTTGTCGCATTAGACGAAATATATCAACGTTTGTATACGTATGTTTGTTCAGGAAAAAGTTATTTGAATTGAACAATTAGACTTGTGATTTTTTTATTTTCAATCGAGTTTGCAATGTATCACTGATTATTCAAATTTCAAGCTCATTCGGCCGAGAGTTGTGCACAATCTTGCTAATGTTAAATTCTTTAATCTATATCAAGTAAGAACGTACTTGCCGGTTTTGCAGAGGGATGGATGGATTCCTATCCACTCCTTCTAATATTTTCCTCTAAACTTTTAAGTAATCATAATTCTTATATATAGAATTCCGATTGTCTTCAAATTTCACACATCCCCAACCCTAGATCAGGTTAGAATAATTAAAACTCCCACAAAATGCAAAATAATTCACCGAGATTTCTTTTGACTTCGAAAAATGCTATTCTTATTTCAAACAATCGTAACTCATAAAATATTTTAAGGTTATCTTTAGAATTTATACATTGCAATATATATACCATCATCTTTCAATCTTTATGATACGTCCCAAAACGCTATACATAAATAAATGGTCAAATGCTGAACGTATATGTATATCTGTCAGCAAACCGACATGGTTTGGTTTTCTCAAAAGCTACAAATGTTAAGGTATTCATTTTAAGAAATAAATGTTTTCTTGCTATATTTTACAAAAATGTTGTTCCATAACTTTTTGCAAAATTTGCACGCCCGAGATATTGTTTTCTCAGTACATGTTACTCAGTAATTTTTATTATTATCGTACATACCTAATATCAATAAAGCATGTTTACTGACGTTTGGTTTTTAGATCTCGACCTCAAATACTTCTGGAATTGGACCGATTTCCAGTCATATTTGGATTTTATGTTAGTCGTTTGGGCAGTCGGCGCAGCTGTAACATACCTGATGCTTTCCGTAGATTGGTTTATGGAAATTGTTGGATTTGTAGCGGTTTTTACAGAAGCTATGTTAGGTTTGTTCTAATCTCATTCTTAATCTGTGACTACAAATATAATTGAATGTGTTAAATCTGTTCTTCTAATATAGGAGCGCCACAATTTATTCGAAATTTTAAGAATAAGTCAACTTACGGAATGAGCATCCATATGGTTTTAATGTGGACTCTTGGTGATATGTTCAAAACTGGTTATTTCATAGCTAGAAAAGCACCATCCCAGTTTTGGATTTGTGGAACATTACAGGTAATTTTACTCAGCGAATTGACATTTTTGTAGAAAAGAGTACATTTGGCTTTTGTTTACAGGTCAGCTTAGACTTGGCCATACTCATGCAAGTATGGATATATCGACACAATTCCAAGCCTCGCGATATCCATCGTGGAGATTAGCAGTTTGCCCCCGAAGAACAACAACAGCAACAACAAATACAAGAACAAAATTCTAATACCAACAACATTTCAGCAGACAGTATTAGCCAATCACTCCACAACACCATAACGAGCAGTGGAAGCGGTGACGACCACCTATTGACAGCACATGCAGAGGACGAATACAAGAGTTATCACGACAATCGTGCATTTCAATTTCACAATAATAACACTTTAGGTCGAAAAAAGGCCGTGGGAAGCATTTCCGATAGTAAAACATCGAAACAAGCTAGCCAAGTAGATCAGACAACCGTTGTTGGAGATAAATTAAATGTGGTAATAATACACGAAATTTCTAAGAAGCCACCGCAGGAAGATGCAGACTTCAAAGTGGACCAAGTGTGCGCATGCACAAGCCAACAAAATAATATTAAGGCAGGCGGCGAGACACGCAAACGCCATAATGCCACGCAGACACCAACTTCACTAATAAATTGGGAAAAACGCCCGTATTATCATAGCAATAATTTATTGCAATGCCATTGCGAATACATCTGCCTAAGGAGGTCACCCGCATCATGTTATTGTCCAAATGCCCAAGAACAAGTGTGCCACTGCCATCGTTTACCAAATTCTACCTCCCATTACTGTCGATACAAGTGCCAGCACCATCACAGACATAGTGGACGATCTCGTTCGACGGATCATAAACATCACGAAGGCCAAGGACCTCCGATGGGCATAAAGGAGTGTCCTATGCGACGCAAGCACAACAAATGTTGGAGCGAGAATCGATCCCGTTACGGACCTATGAAACAACAAGCCCATAACTTACACTGCTCTTCTATGGAACACCTTCCAAATATCTATACCAAGTCTTCCGAATCTAGTGATGATCCACATAACCATCCCAATCATCATTTATCTTCATCGACGGCCTTGCAAGAGATAGCAATCGAAATAGACGCTGCGACAATGACGGAAGACAACAGTACAACGGCCACATCAAATTTTGCATTCAAAGTAGCCGCCGACAACGCTGTCGTTCCGATTATTCGTGCTCCTATTCATGCCGACTCTGATGAGGAAAGCAGAGGTGTTATCAGGCATATGAAGAGAAGATCTTCGATCAACTCAAATACGACCGCCGAGACTGATGAATTTTCTAATGAGGAAGCTGAAGAAAACCAGCCTCAAGGAGATTATAGATGTCAGTGTGTGTATTGGCATTCTTATGAAAGCGGCCAGAAATTTTTAGCCAGTGCGGTGGCGGAACCTAAAAATGAATGCGTCAAAATAAAGCGCAAGCGTTTCATTGCTGCAGACGACTGCTGTAGCAGTTGCTCCAGATGTTCTAGCTGTTCATGTTCCCACGTACATACTAGTAGTTGCAGCAGTTTCGAGGAATGGCCAGGAATCACATCGAACACCCAGTCGTTTACTGTATCCGCAGATTGCCACCGTTGTGCTACCAAACGACACTCAGCAGTGTCAAGCACTGACTATACCGGCAATAATGATAACCCTTTCATTTCAGACGAAGTACTTCCCCAACCTTTAATTCAAGACACCACCGATAGCTCGGCTCCCACCAGTCGTCGCAGTAGTATTACAACAAGTTTCTGTTCGTGCACCTCAAATGCTCCATGCTGTTGTGGCGAAGATTCGGCTACAGGACAAATGTGTACGGCGCAGGACGCAACTATACGTACATCTTCGATTGGTAAAGTCGCCTGTCTGGATGTTGACGAACAACATTCAAGTACCTTGACACCTTTGACTAACCCATCATCTGCAGTGTCTACGCCAGTCGGGGAAGAAGGAGACGTCACTATGAGAAGCATAAGCCAGCCGTTGACTGATGACACATCCTCTCATAGTCATTCAGCTGATTATTATTCCTTATCGTCCAGTCAGCCGCACTCACAAACGACACCAAATAAAACTCCCAGGCATGCAGTTATTTTGCAAAAATCTACAGAAGCTGCCCGAGTAGATGTTGCAGGTGAAACATTTGATGGTGAAGATCATGATAAAAAATCGCGAAAACCATGCAAACATTTCGGAAAACACCATCGTCATAAACGTTCTGAATCTCCAACCGATTCCTATTTATGACGAAGTGTTTCGCTGGTCACATGGCCAGCGATTGATGTAAATTCGTTGCTACAGCAGACTATACGTCAATCCGCCATTCTGCAGGAGAATTCTCAACCGCCCGATGATAGTTTGTCAGCGTTGGCCAGAAGAAAACAGCAGTTACGTCTACCCACGCAACCACAAGATCTGAGTGTTGGCAGCAATGATAGTTCTTCCGCAACTCTAACTTCCATAGTAACAATAGCGAAATTCCCTCCACTTTCCATGCAAATCCCGAAATCACAATTGTTGTCATCAAATTTGTCGCAGCCGCCTTCATCAGTTCAATCGCTGTCAGCCATCACAGCACTGTGTGGAACCAATGGGTCCAGTGTTGTTACAACAACGACATCCACAACCTCAGCTCCCAATAGCGGGCGCTTGAAGCGTAACCCAAAGTTTTCTCCATTGATTGGTGAGCCATTCAGCTGTGATCCACTACTGAATGCTGCCCAAGAACGGCGTTCCACGGAGATTATTTTATAGCAAGTTTGCCAAACCTATGTGCAACACAATTATTGGCAAAGTTCGTTTTGTGTCTTCAGAAATGTGTACTCTCTAGTTAATGAAATTCTCACGATTGAAGTAACATACAATCTTAATGGCTGTGCATGGTAATCTGTCATTCGATCTTCGATTTTTGTCAATTTCCCTCTATATCTAATCGTTCCACTAAATTAACATAAGTATGTACCATTAATACGAATTTCTCGTGCCCTTAAAATTTAAGTTGCTGTTTATCCTAGAATTTTTGATCGAATTTTTGTTTATTTACTTGTTGTTTCTCGGGGGTCAACTATTTCCTCCCCTAGTATTGCACTGCAATATGAATTTTCTAGACTATTTTTTGTTCTTTTATTGGAATACTTTTTTCAAAACAAAATCTACCTTTTTGTTTGGCCTAATGTTCCAAATGTCCTTAACGACGATTGTAGTGTTATAAAGGAGCCAGATGAGTCTCATTCTATGAAATCCACTTTGTATGAGGAGAACATGCACAGAAATGTCATATATAAGGAAAACATGCACATAAGTGTCATATAAGAATGTGTGTTTTATCGCAGCCAAAGTGTTGATATCAAATTTAAGTTTAACAATACTATAACGTGTCCTTTATCTGAAATAATTATGTTCTCCCATGTAAAGTCGTCGTGCGTTTAAGACTATATTACAAACTTGAAGACAAGTTAATCAATTTTAATATGAACATATCCAGACTACTAGAACAATTATACAAATTATTAAAATAATACTATTTATAACATTTTTAGTTTTTGATCTCTGATTACGAAAAGCATAACGCAATTATAGAACTTGTAAAATTATCAGAGAATTTGTACGAAATAGAAATTTAATAGCTTTAGCTATTTCGTTATAAGCAAATACATAATATATAGTTATGAATAGCTTTGTTTCTTAGTTAATTTAGTGTATATTTATTTTTGATTACACTATTATACAAAACTATGCAAACCATTTAATTATTTATAAAAACGTAATATAGCAAATTATACAGACGAAAAGCTTTTAATTTTGTTTTTATTTTGTTTTGGCAAGTGTATGGAATTTTTTTCTCGTGTCGTACGTCAAACGTTCGAACCACGAATTAAAAATGTTGAGACTTGAACACTTCGTTGGCATACAGGGTCCGCCAAATAACCTTTTCTTTTTGAAAATAATAATAATAATAAAAAAATACTGAATATTTTCTCAAAATAAATAGTGAACAATAATTTTATGCAAATGGCAGCCTCGGCTGGCCATGCGTAACCTACAAGGTCGGCCCAATTCTTAAGCACATTTTAAGCACTTATATTTGACGACATCCTACAAATAATAGTCCAAAGGTGTCAAATCGTCGTTACGAGTTTGACAATCAATATCAGCTATGCGGCTAATAATGTGATTTCTAAAAACAAGGCACAAAAATCGATTGTAGCTTCGATTAAGTGGCACGTAGCGCCGTCCTTTTAAAACCAAATGTTGCACAATATTCTTCTCTTCAGTTTTTGTGAACAAAAATTCATTCAACGTGGCTCTTGCTCATTTTCGAAGAGAAATGACCCAATTATGCCTTTAGACCATAATCCGCAGCGAACAGTGAATCTTTTTGGGTGTATCTGCTTTTCAATGTTTGCGATTGGTGCTTTAATTGCGATACTTTTACTTGTATACAAACCGGGGAAGAAAATCACTGTCACTGTTTCTAAACACATTCTACCATAAATATCAAAGTAATATCGCAATATTTCGCAGCCATGTTCAAGTGTATCTTTCAAATCAGGTTTACAGGGGATTCACGAAATAAGCACTAGTTGAAAAAAAACGTCAGATGGCGGACCCTGTACATACACTTCAATGTTAATTTTTTGTTGCATTTGTACCTAATGCAAAAATTAATGTGGCGAAGTCCATCATTAGATTGTGCAGGTTTACAAATTTCGGAATCGCGGCTCTAACCAAGCAGTGTAGAAAAACTGAATTTTTCCAAAGCTGCGCATGATAATTCGTTATTTGTGGGAAAAAGCACAGTTTATTATTTAAAGTTACGTGTTTACAACCCACTTTCATGTGTTTTTTTATCAACCACCCTTTAGTAGCGGCGCTCACCAAGTCATTTTAATATATTTAGTTATCTTTTTTGAGTTTATATTTTAAGTTATTTCATGTAAATATAATATAAAATAATGTACAACATTATTGTATGAAAACGTAAAAAATACTTCCTTGAAAAAAACTTGAGATTCCGTTGAAACATACACACTTATTAAATTATCAATTTGTTAATAAAATTATAAAAGTATCGAGAGAAAAGGTTAATAAAAATGCATTAAATGTTGAAATGAACATTCAATGTGTTAATGCTGGAATACAAAACCCCAAGGGTTTAAACATTTGTTGATTAGTATGTAGTCACCATACATGTATGTTAAAACTATGTAATTCGAATATTCAGTTTAAATAAATTATTGTTAGAAAAATTGTGAAAGAAATGACGCTTCGAACCATAATTATGAACACGGTCGAATTCGTCAGGTCGTCGTATCTACTTATCACTGTCAAAATAAAAAGTTCTATGCCTTTTCCTCTGCGTAGAATAAGGGATCTATTAAAAAGCATTATATAACTCCATACATATTTGTTTCATCTAACCAAAAAGCAATAAGAATTATAATAATAAATTAGCAAGTATATATTTTAAACTCTACAATTGACAGTTTTTCAATCCTTAAATACTTATCTATCTATTCAAAACATGGTCTTGTTAATACTTAATTTACAGGCCGATACTATATGCCGATGTTCAGATACACATTATAGGATATTCTTGTCGCTGCAATTGGAAGATTATCTGCAACGTTTTTGTATCGTGAAGCAGAAGACATGTAGATTTCCATAATATCGTGTTTATTAATAAAGTCAATATAACCAAACATCATTGGGTACTTAATGTAAATACTGGTATTATTGGTTAATGTAAGTACATATGCATATATGAGTGTAAATACCATGAAATAATTTCTCTATGTGAAATCATGCAAACATATAACTTTAATTTTTAAATGGTGTTGTTTGATAATGAAATAATTTTTCAAAAATTTTACTGGATTTGAAAAGTCCAGTAAATGAGAATGTATTTTTTGCCAAACCCATTAAATATTATTGTGGTAAATAACATTATATATCATTATAATAACAATCAATGATAATCACTCATGTGAATGTGTGAATAATGTAATACATAATGCGCTTGCTCCCGGCGTTAACCCAACATAAAGAGATGTGCTCCAATCAAACTTAAAACTAAGATAAGGCCCTGTATATGCTATGTAGAGGCTAAGTGTAAAAATTTATATATCAGGAAGCTTGCACCTATTTATTTTTTTTAAATCCGAGCTTTGGAATATAATAGTTGTTTGACTAATTGATCGATGATTGGCTTTCCAGAACCTCTGCTATCAGAGGATTAGGAGAAAGACGAAAACGCTGTGTCCGTAGTTATAACATAGGAAGCCAGCGGTGTATTGGTAGCCCTATCATTATATTTGATAAACTAATTATTTTCCTCCCAATATTGAAAATTCGTTCACCGGGAAAGCATATAATCGTTTTGGATTCTATTGGAAGAAAACTTATTATTTAACAGAAAAAAAGGTAGCTTTAACTTTGCAGTTCCCTAGAGCTAGTTGAGCGTGTTTATTAAACTTGATTAATTTTGAAAAGTTGAGTCCGAAATATTTGTCAACAGGAAACAGGTTATTTTGTATATAAACGCGCTATATGCAAAGGCTTCTCCAAAACGGGTACCTTCATGGTTTTAATTTCATGAAACGTGTGGACCAACTTTATATTTGGTCATGATCTAATTGAACTGATTCCACTGTAAATAAATATGTACATGAATATGTATAATTTGATTCCAATTTGAAAAGGATCTAGCTTTTTCCACGATCTCCCAGGGATTGCTTGACGTGCTGCAACAAAATTTTGTATGTTCTGAAAAAAAATTTTTTTTTAGTCTTAAAAAATATTTTTTTTATCAGTTCTTCAATATTTAATGTGTTTAATTTTGCTATTGCAAGAGGTTATTGGCGACGCAAAGAAAATCCTACCGGAGGAAGGATAAGAACCTAATTGTTTATGGTTTATTCAGGATGAAGAAAGAGCCAACTATTTGCGGAAAAGATCGACCGCAGATCTCATTTCCAATCAAAAAGTTCTCATTTTCAATCAAAAAGTTCATCATTAAAAGATGTTTATTCGTAAAGTGCTATAAATGCAACAAATTCGGTTATCAAGCTAAAGATTGTTGACGAGCAGAGGGAACATCAGCAAAATTCAAATCCACTCTCTTTATGGTTAATACAAGAGAAAATATCAAGCCTGAAAATACTGCCATAATTAAATAAAACGGGGTGAACCGTTTAATAAAATAGCCGCGGGTGCTAGCGATCATATGGCTAAAGAAAATTATCTACTTTTCATCGATGGAAGAATTTAAGGTTTCTAAAAGGTTTATCGCACTGTCACTGAGAAGATTATATCAATATTGCTAGATTCTGGGGTCCAAATTATTTATGGAATGGAGCTTCCTCCACTAAAAATAAATAAAGCAGGGCCAGGCAGAGAAATTCAAAATTATGTTGTGATTGTATGTGTTTTGAAAAAATGCAAGTGTTTCTTTGTCACTTTAAACATAGAGGAATAATTTCTCACTTTTAATTTTTCAATTTTAAATTTTCTGTTTTTAAAACAACTTCGTGGGTAAAAATGAATATTTGGATCAGACAGTTCGGAGCTATATTTGAACAATTATTTCAATTCTGATTCACTTTAAAATAAAAAAAGATGATATAAATGTCCTTCAAAAACATATGAGTTGACATTTTCAAAAATTTTATATAACTTTGTGTTTAATAATTTCGGACATAACATGCTAACCATCTAAGTTGGCCCTTTTAAAAGTAATACCGATTGCCACAGGCTGACATACAGACATACATAGAATGTTACGCTGATCAAAAACTCATATCCTGTGTTGGGTGCTAAAAAATTATTTCTATGAACAACAAACAGAATGTCAAACATCATATCCAGTTATTTTTCCCAATATTGACTAAGAACGTGCATATCATTTCATGATATGCAAATTTCCACTAATTTGGAAGGTCAATGAATTTGTCGATCAATATGAAATGAATTTCTATTCCAAACATGTGAAATTATGTCAAATAGAATTCTATCAAAAAAGAGAAATCTTAACTATTGTAATTTTTACAATTTTGGAAATATTTGTTTCAAATATGTAGTATATTTGTTTCAATTATGTATTCATAAAAATATCCGACATCACCTTCCTCATCGACTGCTCGAACAAAACTAAATATTCTTCACAAATCCAATTTGAAAGAAAATTCAAAACAATTTATTTTTTACAATTTTGTTGGTGAACACACAGATATTCCATGGGAAACTCTTTGCATAGACAAATGAAAATATAGACAACGAAATACTCTCACCGTTTATCTTCGAAAAAAAAAAAATGGAATCAGCAGATGTCATCTACACCTAAGTCTGTTTTTACACGGTAGATTGGTTCCAGAAGAAGCCGTGTAAAAAAAAAAAAACAGTGTAAAAAATGACATTGATCTTATACCAAAATGGGTGATTTGTTCCTAATCCCTAAAACCTATTAAAATTAGTGAAAAACAAGAATTTTTAAGAACAAGAATTCATGTTTATTTTGTTAAATCAAATATATAATGCTTATTTTCACAAGCATAGTAAATAATGATAAAAAGATATGCACTCTAATCTAAAAGTAAATGTATGGCAAGTTCAGGAACTAAAAAACTATGTTGTGAACGAAAAAAATAGGTTATTCAATTTTTAAGGTAACAAATAAAATAAAATTTTTAACATTTTAGAACTGAGTGACTTAAATACTCTCACTCAACCCCTGAAACGATATAGATGACATCTGCTGATTCGATTTTTTCGAAGATAAACGGTGAGATCATTTCGATGTCTACATTTTTATTATTTTTGTTTTTCTATGCCACAGGGATGTTAACTGAGTAAAGTTAGTAACGGCGCATTCACAGGGTGACGCAGAACACCCCACATTCATATTTACTAGCTTTTTTCAATTATACTGATGAAAATTAATGACAACAACTTAATTAAATAATTTAATGAACTGCAAGAATGTTATTCTTGTCAATATTTTACTTAAGATTACAGACATTTCACTTGATCTGTTCCACAATCTGCTACAATCTACTAGTTGTGAAAATTTTTTTCGATAACATAAAGTGAAAACCGGTCGGTTATCGTGGTAAAAACTTTTACATTGTTATAGCATGTTTCCATTGGAAACCGAACAACGTTGTTCGTTCTCAGAATTAGGTATTAACCCGTTCATACGGCACGATTCGTAATTCATAGTAAAATAATTAATTTTTTCAAAAATTTTGTTTGTTGATTTTAATGTGAATTTATACGAAAATACATGAAATTCTCACTAACATAAATATATCATTTATTTTACAATTTTCATTCACGTTTTTAAATTTTTGTGTAAATTTTGACATTTTGAACATATTTTTGTGTTTTTCAATTTTTAAATTCTCCTGGAGAGACTTTTATCAAACATTTTTTCTGCCGATAGAAACATTTTGAAAATATTGCCTCTTTTGTTTGCAGTTTTCTGTTTTTTTCATAGTTAAGGGTCAAACAACGAATAGAGAGCGAATAAAGTGCAGTGGAAATGCCAAATGACAGTTGTGAAACAGTCCGTGAGAAAGGTTGCTGAGCAACAGACTAATCTCTGTACACCATCGTAACAACGTAAGTACAATAATAAACATGTTTTAAATGAATTTAAAAAAAGCTTAAAGTTGATCTTTTGAAGATTTATATATTGGCAGCGATCAATAGTTCCATACGTTTACAGAACTAAGATTGAATTAAGATACTTCCAAGTTCCAAGATATAAGGACAATATTGTTTTATCTCCAAATTGTACAGTTTATTGCCCATTCATATCGAACATTTGCATTTTTATACCCTACAACACTATGTGTTGGCGGTATTATAAGTTTGATTGGGCCAAAAATTATGTAACACCACGAAATATTGGTTTCCCACATAGGAAAGTATATATGGATCTTCCTATCTCGCCGAACTGAGTCGATCTAGCTATGTATGTCCGTCCGTCCGTCTGTCCATGTTAATTTGTAATCACTCTACAGGTCGCAATTATGGCCCGATCTTTAGAATGGAGGTGGGGCTAGGGTCAGAATAGAACCCTATTTCTTTTGAAGAAAATCGCATAATATTTAGGGTTTGAAATGGACCAAAAACTAAAAAAAATCCTGATTTTGCAGCTGCTCTACAGGTCGCAATTGTAGACCAATCGACGCAAAAGTTAGCATGGCGCTAGAGCTTAGGGCTGGGCAGAAGCCTTTTGATGGCCATTGGGTAATATTTAGTGGGTGAAATAGGCCACAACATTTGTGTTAAATAAAATTCAACATTTCCATTAAACCGCGAATATTTTTAATCCCGGTCAAATCACAAATAGACGAACAGGTCAATTCTGACCGTTACGTAGATGCCGATAATAAATATATCGGTTATATATAGCGAAATATATACAATGTGTATATACAAAGGAAGGGGATGTAAGTTAGAATGCTTATATCTCAAGAATGGCTGAACCGATTTTGACATATTTTGTCAATTCAGAATGCCCTCTTGACATAAAGGAATAAAATGTAAAAAAAAATGGCAAAAAAAATTCCAATAATTATGCTAGTATAGATTTTGTAGTATTTTGTGACATTTTTTTATTTTTTCATATTTTTTATCGCATGCAATTTTTTTTAATTTGACTTAAAATATTGAAAATATAAATATTACAAAATATGATATTTTTTCACCTTACAACACAGGTTGGGGTTATTATATGCAGATTGCAATTATCGTCCGATCCTCACGAAAATTTACATAAGGGTAGGGTTAGGCTCAGAAGGGCTAGGCCTATTGTTTTCAAAGATGTCCGCAATATATTAGGGGTTGAAATTGACCAACAACTAAAAATGTTCCTGATTTTGCAGCCGTTGTAATGGTCACAAGTAAAAATCAAAATACACGATATCTCACATGGAGTTAGAGTTTAGGACAGCGGGTAGAATGGACCACTACTTTTGTGTGAAAAATACCAGCATTACTTACAGACGATATCCGAAATACACAAAAGGCGAACTGCTGGCTTTTTTATGCTGATTTCATTGACGAATATAGCAGCATATCGTATACAAGCAAATCATATAGATGAGTCTAAATCGGTTATTTTAGTAATAACTTTTACATTCTTGTAGTTTTGGAACAGACCAGAAGCTAATAGATTCTTGCAGATTTTGGAACAGAGCAAGTGTTATCGATTTTACCAATAAAAATCGAAAGTAATTTTCGATTTTTGCAAAAATAGTTGTAATCGAAAGTATCAATAGCTGTTTGTATATACACAGAATAAAGATACGGGTCTCCTGTAATTGAATTTTAATTGAAATAAGGAAAAAAACTAGAAACTCAGCAAAGAGCAAAATGGAGCAGTAACAATTTTAAGTTGTTACCATAAAGTAGGGGAAATTGCAGTGTTTACAACATTTATTTCTATACACGATCTGGGCTCTTTTACACGTCTATTTTCTTGTGTAGTGAAATATACTAAAATGATTCCAGTTCCAATCAAAGGCTTAGACAAATGTTGTAAGTATTTTTATTTCAATATATAAATATATCATTGTATCGTTTGGCAAAGTGTAATGTAAGTTCGTCTTTATACATGGTATATATTATCATAATTAAAATAACACGAACATAATTCAATTTAAATGACAATGTTCCTAAAAATAACCAATACCTTTGTATTATAGGGATTATAGTTCAATACAACCAGCTCAGCAATACTCATGCAGCGTATTTCAAAAAAGGCTTCCCCGCATAGTCCATAGGTAAAATTTTTAAATTCCTGGCAGAGGACTTCACAGTTGTAACTTAATATTCATATTGACCAGAAAGTTGAGCTTTCGAATATTTCTTAAAGTGGGCCTACCTTTAGTACTTTTGTCTTTAATAATTGTCGTACAATGTTATGTAAATTGCTTATGACTGTTTTTGTGAGACTTTTTTGAGGCACTTGTATTGGAATTGGTTTCCTGAACTTAAGCATCTTCACTTCTTTTGAATTACTTTTGATTAAATTCTAAGTGGTATATATGTCGTAGATTGTTCAAAAATGCTGATTTTATCAATATGTAACTCGGTTTGATGTAAAACCGCATGCCATAATCCAAGTCTCTTTGGGATTATACATTGGACAAAAAAATTAATGCAAAACATTCATTTTCCGCCCAAGTGGCAGAGAATGTTCTATTTGATGTGAATAGTGCCGGAACGTAGAGCATACCAGACAAAGAGTTTTATTTTAAACGGGTGTAATACCGAACTAAAAGTCCGCCAAGAAATGTCTGGTGTGCTAGCGTATTAAATCAATACTTTTTAGTATTAAATCAATACTTTTAGTTTAACAGATCGGGTTTGAAAATAAATACTTCCATTCGTAATCTTTTCAACGTATTCCTATTTATGACAAATTATTTCATCCTGCAGGAGAATTCACAACCACCCGATGATAGTTAGTCAACGTTGGCCAGAAGAAAACAACAGTTACAAATACCAACACTATCACAAGGTCCGATCTATCGTAACAATAGCGAAATTCCAGACACTTTCCATACATGTCCGAAACAATTGTTGGTATTAAAGACGCTGCAGCCGCCTTCAGTAGTAAAACCGCTTATTCCAAAGTTTTCTACCATGATTATTTTGAAGCAAATTTGCTAAATCAATGTGCAATTTTTGGCAAAGTTCGTTCTGTGTCTTCAGAAATATGTACTTCCTTGTTAATAAAATTCTCATGATTGAAGTAATGTAACCTTTAGTATTTAGCTAATAATAAATTCAAACAAATTCAAGATACGTATAAAACGAACCCAAAGAGTGTACACAAACTAAATATACGTACAATATAAAAATAATGAAAACAGAATAACCGAAAGATTTCAAAATAGTAACTATAAAATAACACTATAAAAGGCTAGATTACGCATGATATGAGAGTCATATGTAAATTGGCTTTTTTAGAATTATCTATAGCTTTTTTGTCGAATAAATATGCTAAAGGTACAGAATAAACAAAATCTAGTGAATCTAAAGAACTGTAGTTCATTTTGGTTCGGTGATGAACCAAACAATGGCCTATGCGGTTTAGTGCGCGAAAGAGCCGTCATATTCCAATATACATAAAAACATCCACAGTATATTTTTATGTCCCTTTTGACAATAAAAACAATTTTAGTCTTAGTTTTATTGGAACTAAACAAAGAGTTAACAGTTATTATTCACAGAAGAGGGAAGTTGCCCTGAAAATTGTCTAGTACCCTTAAACTTCAAACAATCGCAAATAATTCTGAAAATCTAAGTCTAAGCTCCAATAGATGGATTCTTTGCTTTAAATATATAAAATTAAATGTAAGCATTCATTTACGTTTGTTTGTCACTTTGAAGACAAATTGCTTTAATTTGTCTAATTTCCGAATGCATGGACAAATATTGCAGGCCGTAAAAAAATAACTTACCGCTTTCGTTATAATGCGACAGTTTATGTGAAACATGTTTTAATTGCTTTAATTTCGCCAAATAACGAAATTTGTCGCTACATTAGCGACGAAAATAAATTACTTGCTAAAATATACCGATAGAAATGATGTTTACTTAACTATTGTTTCACTTTATCCACGAAATGAAAATGGCCATGAGAGACAAAATTTTATACAGCATTCGATGCCTTTGGGACTGAAGATTTGATGATATACTGACATTTACACTTGTATTATAAATTGATCGTTTTAAATTTCGGTCAATGTTTTCGCATTTTCTAATGAATTCAACATTTGGATTCCGTAATGGGCCTGGTGATTAAAGGTACAAATGTTTCGGGCCGGCCAAACTTAAAGCACTTCAAAATTCGCCATACGACGGTGTTGTACTTATAATTGTCATTCAGTTTAAAACACCTCGAAATATTTTTGGGTAAATACTCTTGATTTGTGTATATTTCAATTCAGATTTCGTCGTCTTCGTTTTGTCACACAATAAATCATGTTACATAGTTACAAATATGTAAATAAATGTATGGCAATTCTGCCAGACAATGCATGCAGGTAAATCTCTTTTCTCATAATTTTCTCGACCTTATCAAAGACATATAATATAATAAGATGGGACATTATATTGCTACTTTTCTCCAATAGATGTAGTGGAAAAAATATGTTATGTCACGATATCGTTCCGCCATTTTTCGGCGATATTGGAATAACATTTTTTTCTACAATTTCCAATGCATTTCTTATGTCGCCTGTCATCTATTACCTGATAAAAAAATTAAAGCTCATATGCATTTTGTCCAATATTTATAGTTTTATGTCTTTGACCTTATCCTACATTGCATTTATTGCACCATAGTGTCAGTATCAAATATCATTGTTGTGGAGTGCGTATTACGCATCTGAGGGACGTTAACACCAAATCGGATGAAAAATATGTATGAGGGCTATAGCTAAATCTGAACAGATTTTCACCAAAATTTGAAGCACTTGCTTTTAGGCTAAAATTACGTCGGAAGTGCCAAAATATAGTCCATTTGGCTGATATTAACCATATATATATATATATATATATATATATATATATATATATATGGGACATATATCCAAATCTGAACCGATCTTGACAAAATTTTAAACACTTATTTCTGAGCTGTATCTGATACAAAATATCATTCTTGTGGTGTGCATATTACGCATGGCTTAAAACCCCAAATCGAATAAAACATATATGCTATATATGAACCGATTTTCTCCAAATTTGATGTTCTGGACTAAATTCGATTGGATGATATATATATATATAAATATATATATATATATATATATATATATATATATATATATATATATATATATATATATATATATATATATATATATATATATATATATATATATATATATATATATATATATATGGGACATATATCCAAATCTGAACCGATCTTGACAAAATTTTAAACACTTATTTCTGAGCTGTATCTGATACAAAATATCATTCTTGTGGTGTGCATATTACGCATGGCTTAAAACCCCAAATCGAATAAAACATATATGCTATATATGAACCGATTTTCTCCAAATTTGATGTTCTGGACTAAATTCGATTGGATGTGCCAAAATTCAGGTCATTTGGCACACAATTAGCCCGAAATTGGTTGAATATAAATGTGTGAGCTATATGTAAATTTGAACCGATTCTCATCAATTTCAATAGGGTTCGTCCTTGGGCCAAACAAATATTGTTTGGAAAATTTCATCTCAATCGCATAATAAATGCGACCTGCTTTTTCTTCACAAAAATGCATGGACAGATAGACTAGCATGCATAAATCGACTCAGAAAGTGATTCTATGAAGATCCTCAAAAGTAACAAAACAAACAAATGCACAAAGACATAATTTAATTGGGAAATATTGTATTTAATTGGAAATTTACAACGCTGTTATACGATAGGCGTATTTTGGTACAAAGTATTTTACCATAGTGGAGAAGTTGGCATTTTTGTACGCAACGTCGAATTTTACGTAGACCTGTTGGATAATAAAATTACATATAACAGCGGTATTCAACTCTTTCAGATTTCCCTAGTCCTCCAATTTACCACGGATTATAGACTGATTTCAGTTTTCGTGGCATACTTAAGGCTCTCTACAAAGGAACAACCGATGAATATATAGAAACACAAGTTGACACATTCAGTCACCGCTTACCACATTACTTTTCAATCAAAGTTAAATTTTTGCGACAATGTCACGTTCGAAAGAGAAAGTAGTTTCTTCATTACGCAAGATTTTCAAAAGTAAAAATCCTTCTAATGATGACTTGGCAGAAGACAAAAAACCATCTGAAGCTGATTCCACGGCGAAAAAACCGACGGACTCGCCAGGCAAAAGAATACGAAGACTGGAAAAGAAGTAAGTGTGTCATAGAGCATCAAAAATATTGAATGTAAATGCAATTTATTTTTAGAATTAAACCGACACCTGTGAATCCAACACCAGACTATAGTGTCCGGGCAAGAAGGCTTATGAAAGAGTATAAGGAAATTCAAAAAATGCAAAATTGCAAAAGCGATGCGGTATTTACGGTAGGTTTGCATTCCTTTCCTTATAGGTTTAGAAGATATTGGTCGGAGCTTCTTTGTGAATAAAAAGCTTCACGTTATTACTAAACTTTTGGAAATATGAAAAATTGTGGATTTTTTTTCTGACAAAGGTGGAGCTCATAAATGACAATCTATACGAATGGCATGCACGATTACACACGGTTGATCCTGATTCTAAGTTAGCAAAGGATATGGCCGATCTTAATATCCCATTCATTTTATTACATTTGACATTTCCCGACAACTTTCCGTTTGCTCCGCCTTTTATGCGTGTTGTTGAACCGCATATTGAAAAGGGGTACGTCATGGATGGAGGGGCAATTTGTATGGAATTATTAACCCCCCGCGGATGGGCTAGTGCATATACGGTTGAAGCTGTTCTAATGCAATTTGCGGCAAGTCTTGTCAAAGGACAGGGCCGAATCACGCGAAAACCGAAAAATACCAAAGAGTTCAGCAGGTTATGTTTATATTTATTGTATTTGCTTTCAAACCTTGACCGTTAAATCTTTCTCCTTTACAGACGGCGAGCAGAGGAAGCATTCCGATCACTGGTAAAAACACATGAAAAATATGGATGGGTTACACCCTCGCTTTCTGATGGCTAAAGTGGTTTTGGCCTTTACATCAATAAAAAGGCTTGATGAAAATCAACAACTATTTGCTGCCAGAATGGCTTGTTGATGTATTAGCATTAATTTCCTTATATCTGTATATAATTGGTAATTTAGAGTCAACCAAAAAGAAAAGCAGCATTAAAAATGTACTAGTCCAACAACATTATTTAAGGTCTAACAATATTAAAATTTTGATATTTGAAATATATATAAGTGGACATGTTTATTTTAGGTATATCTAGGCATGGTACAATGAATACGAGATAGGCCATAGTATCAGACTCATTTCTATGTTGTTATTGTATGGTTTATTCTTTTAAATTATTGTGCATGAAAAATATGAAAGTTCATATTGCATATTTTGAAATTAAATGAAGCAAACATGGTAGAATTAAAAAGGTATAGTTACGCAATAATATGTTTACAATTTGTTAAGAACTTTTAATTTTACAACATCTCATTGTCAAAATGTATATCTATAAATCTATTGAATACTCAGAAATCAGAGATAGAACCTGTTTTTTATTCAGTAAAATTGACGAGGTAAATTACAGAAAATGCAGAAATAGTCTTATTTAAAATTACTTTACCTTCTTGATTTTACCGTGGAAGCAACTTATTGTTATTACAACTTGTGTATGAGGGAAATAAACTAATACACATATGTTACACATGTATGTATTAGTAATAAATAATTTAACATTTTTATAGTCATGTTTACATAAGTACAACTTCTAAATGTTAATATGTTTCTTTCATCGTTGTTTTTAGTCCAAAATGTTGAAATTAATTAGCGGTTATGTGTTTATACTCAACTTATATAAATTAAATCGATAATGAAAAACATTAATACGCAAAACTATATATTTTGGCATCTCATAATTTTATAAGATACTCAATCTAACTGTGCTAATTTTAGGTATTTACAGCATGGTAGCTATTTGAATATAAAAGTAATTTGTTTTTATTTTATAATCATAATGACTTTGCCATAGTAAGCTTTTGCAACTGTTGTACTACATTTGAAATAGTACCTTTCTTTGTTTGGAGGAAAAAAGGTATACATGGTATAGTTACTAAAAGGTAGCTGGAAGGCGTATCTGATGAAATATTAGGGTCAAATTCGGTATGAGGTTTGGTGTATTAACTTTATTTCCACGTTAAATATGTATCATGGCCTCTCCACTAGGTCATTCGATAAGACCAGCTGATTTCACTAGCATTGTCAAATTGAATGCCATTTGTGAATTAAACGTATGAAAACGTTAACAAACACTTTGACCTTATCAGGGATTTTCGATCTCAACTGTCGTTTTTATTGTGATTTGCACGACCTGTTTAATGGAAATTTCATTGAAAATTTCAACTTTGACGTACTTTTATAAAGTTTGAAAATAAAATTCAAGGATTTTCTTTCAAGTACGTTCTGATAATAAATAACAATGATACGATTTCGGCTCATTACATCAGTCTTATGTATTTCTATTGGTGATATTTTTAGTTTAGCCATATTTCGTTTGTTTTCCTTCATTATCGATCAAAGCTTGCTGGCAATGTGAAAAGAAATAAAGTGAATTTTGTGTGATTTTATATATATGTTAATTGTTATATATTTTGTTTATAAGGAATAACCAGTATACCCACAGACGTCCATGTTTTGGTAAAAGAACAAAAAAGAAACAAAATAAATAATTTTAGACTAAAACCAAATTAACTTGACTTTCATTCCAAATACGCCGAGCAACAAAATCATGGGACGGAAAACTCATCCTTGGCTACATTTTTGGGTTTTGGCTTGATGAGTTTTTTGTTTGCTACTGCTGTAGCCCATTTTTGAAATAACTTAAAATTGATTTAAAAAATAGCTCTAAATTTTAGTAACATATTTCAAGGCAGACACCAATTGCACTTTTTGGAAAAAATTAAGCTGTGTGTGGGTTAAGTTTTTTTGGGGTTGTTTTTTTGTGAATTGCCAAAATGCTTAACCCACATATTTGTGATATATACATTGAAAGCTATGTCTACATAGCTGCTAAGCGGACTTTTAATAGCAATCTGAAGGTGTTGGGTTCAATTCCCAGCCAAAAGTTTTCTATTTTAATGGAGCACAAATTGAATTAGGTGCGATTACTTGTATTTGTTGTTGTAAATTATAACATAATGCTATGTCACATAATGCTATAATAAGATGGGACAATACATTGTTACTTTTATTCAATAGATGGCGTTGGTCGTGGAAAAGTATGTTATGTCACGATATCGTGACATAGCATTATGTTATAATTTAACAGAGCTGACACTTTTTAAGGGTTGTTGTTGATTTTATCGATTCAATGTACAAATAAATGGTCTGGAATAGATTTTTGAGACCATGTCTATCATACCTGGCATTTTTCCTTGTGTTTTCGCCAATTTTCGGCGATATCGGAATAACATATTTTTCTAAAATTTCCAATGCATTTCTGTTATGTCGCCTGCCATCTATTACCTGATGGAAACATTAAAGCCCATATGCCAAAGACATATAATATAATAAGATGGGACAATACATTGTTACTTTTATTCAATAGACGACGTTGGTCTTGGAAAAATATGTTATGTCACGATATCGTGACATAGCATTATGTTAAATTTAACAGAGCTGACACATTTTAAGGGTTGTTGTTGATTTTTATCGATTCAATGTACAAGGAAATGATCTGGAATAGATTTTTGAGAGCATGTCTATCATACCCGATATTTTTTTCTCGTATTTCCGCCATTTTTCGGCGATATCGGAATAACATATTTTTCTAAAATTTCCAATGCATTTCTGTTATGTCGCCTGCCATCTGTTACCCGATTGAAGAATTAAAGCCCATATGCATTTTGTCCAATCTTTATAGTTTTATGCAAAGACATAGAAGTGTAAAGATAGGACAAGACAGAGTCAAAATATGGCAACCCTGTGAAAATACGTCTGTTGTTACGATATCATAACAACATAGCTACAAATGTTAACTGATTTAAACCGCTGAGGCAATATGCACATTTTTGAAAGGTCTATGGAATAAAATTTTAAGACCAAAATATCGAATTTTTTAAATTTTTATTTGTTATTCTTTTCTGTAATTGTGGTTTTTGTAATAACATGTTTCTGCCATGAGCTGTTACTTTATGTATTGTAGACACAGACCATTTGCTCAAAATGCATTTTGTCTAGTCTTTACCATTTTACGTCTTTGGTTTTATGTCTTTGGCATATGGGCTTTAATTCTTCAATCGGGTAACAGATGGCAGGCGCATAATAGAAATGCATTGGAAATTTTGGAAAAATATGTTATTCCGATATCGCCGAAAAATGGCGGAAATACGCGGAAAAAAATATCGGGTATGATAGACATGCTCTCAAAAATCTATTCCAGAGCATTTCCTTGTACATTGAATCGATAAAAATCAACAACAACCCTTAAAATGTGTCAGCTCTGTTAAATTTAACATAATGCTATGTCACGATATCGTGACATAACATATTTTTCCAAGACCAACGTCGTCTATTGAATAAAAGTAACAATGTATTGTCCCATCTTATTATATTATATGTCTTTGATGGGACATTACATTGCTACTTTTCTTCAATAGATGGCGTTGGTAGTGGAAAATTATGTTATGTCACGATCAAAGACCTAAAATGGTAAAGACTGGACAAAATGCATAATGGAAAAATAGTTAATGTGAAAAATATATAGAGGCGCTGCTCACAACAGTGACATGTTAGCATAAAAATTATATGTACAGAGCAATTTTAAGAATAAAATTTTCTGTGAACCAAAAATTTGAACTAAAAATTGCATTTCACTGACGTTTGAATATTGCATTTGCTGTTAAAACAACTTAACATTGGTGATTATGTTGTTATGATATCGTAACAACAGAGGTATTTACACCTGGTGACAATATTTTGACTCTGTCTTGTCCCATCTTTATACTTCTATGTCTTTGTCACGATATCGTGACATAGCATTATGTTATAAGGTGTAAATACCTCTGTTGTTACGATATCATAACAACATAATCACCAATGTTAAGTTGTTTTAACAGCAAATGCAATATTCAAACGTCAGTGAAATGCAATTTTTAGTTCAAATTTTTGGTTCACAGAAAATTTTATTCTTAAAATTGCTCTGTACATATAATTTTTATGCTAACATGTCACTGTTGTGAGCAGCGCCTCTATATATTTTTCACATTAACTATTTTTCCATTATGCATTTTGTCCAGTCTTTACCATTTTAGGTCTTTGATATGCATTTTGTCCAATCTTTATAGTTTTATGTCTTTGTCCTATATTCACACTTCTATATCTTTGAATAACGTTTATAAAATTTTAGAGAAAAGTGAAAATGTAATGTTGCATCTTATTATATTATATTATATGTCTTTGCTCTGTTGTTACGATATCATAACAACAAAGTTGCCAATGTTAACAATTTAAACCGCTAAAGCAATACACAGATTTTTGGAAAGTTCTATGAAATAACATTTTGAAACCAAAATTTTGGATTTTTCAAATTTTTATTTGTTTTTCGTTTCTGTAATTCTGGTTATTATATTAACATGTCTCTGCCATGAGCTGTTACTCTATATATTGTAGACACAAACCATTTTCTCAAAATGCATTTTGTCTAGCCTTTACCATTTTAGGTCTTTGCGTAATTATTGTAATAATTTAATGCGTAAACAAACAAATAGCTCGGTCTTCAAACACGTGAACATGCCATGAACAGCTGACCATGAGAAAATCAGGAACATGCTAAATTTGGTCCACTTACACGAAGGGATTGTCCTTCGGATTTATTACTTTTATAGCAAATGCCAAGCGTGCCGGAAACTGCAATCTTTTGAAGTTGAAAGGCATTTCTGTTACAATTGGATAATTCGAGGTAGCAACATACTTTCCAGTAATAATTCTACCCTCTCCACCATAGTATGGAGGGTATATTAAGTTTGTCATTCCGTTTGTAACACCTCGAAATATACATTTTAGACCACACAAAGTATATGTATTCATTCTATGTCGATTTAGCGATGTCCGTCCGTCTATCCGTCTGTCAGTCTGTGGAAATCACTCTAGCTTTCGAACGAAATAAAGTAGGTTGATAAAATTTTACTCAAACGTATATTATGTCTGCAGGACATTGGTACCTCCCGATATTCGGTACTTTGACATTATTCGCCAGAATTGGTTCAAATTTGGTATTTGAAGTTCGTAATGCATACTACAGCCTATAACTTACAGTTTTCTTTACTTGTTTACTGTTAAAATCATATCCCAATCTGAAACGATTTCAATATAATTTGACAAAATGTACATTTAAACCAAATTCCGTCACACCTCCATGTTTCATTGAAATTGGAGGTACATACCGTGTTTGGTACATCAAATATGTGAAATCGGCGGAGAATATATATGGGAGCTATATCCAAATTTTACCCGATTTCTAATTAATTTGTCAAATTTATTATTGTATCCAAATTCCGCCACACATTCTGAATTTCATTGGAATAGGACATACATATGGTGTTTGATACATAACATTCATGAGATCGGCCGAAAAATATATATGAGAGATGTACCCAATTTATTTTTGTATCCAAATTTAGTCACTCATGCCGAATTTAATTGGAATCGGACACACGTATCTTGTTTGGTGCATCAAATACGTGAAATCGGACGAAAACATATATGGGAGCTATATCCAAATCTGAACCGATTAAAATATAATTTGACAAATTTATTTTTGTACAAATTCAGTTACTCATGCCGAATTTAATAGGATTCGGATATACGTATCGTGTTTGGTGCATCAATTACATGAAATCGGCCGAAAATATATATGGGAGCTATATCCAAATCTGAACCGATTTCAATATAATTTGACAAATTTATTTTCTGATCAAATCCCGTCACACATTTCAAATTTCGTTGAAATCGAACATATACGGCGTATTTAATGCAACAAATACATGAAATCGGGCGAAAATACATATGAGAGCTATATCCAAATCTGAACCGATTTCCATATAATTTGGCAAATATATTTTCTAATCAAATCCCATCACCTATGCCAAATTTTGAGACTGTATCTGTAATCGATCAATAGATATGTGCATATAAAATCCAAATTTTTGGGAGGTACCTCCGATTCTGATGCTATATCTCCAGTTCCGAGTGGAATTTCAAAAAAATTTTATAGCCTATGTTACTTTTAGGCGATGAAAAGTAATTAAATTTTATGAATATGTACTATATACTCTGGATTGTTGTTCGCTATTCACTTCAATAAACTTCATGATAGCTGGTATAATACTTATATACACAGTGCTTTGCTTCGCTAAAATTTAGTGGTAGGGCAAAGTTTTATGAAAAATCACTAAATTTAGGGGTAGTGCTATTAAAATTTCACTACCACTAAAATTTAACCCTTTAGTGGTAGTGGAATAAAAAATTGCACTACCACTTATTATTTAATTCTTAGTGCTCTAAAAATTTAGTGCAATATGCCCAACCCTGAGATACATTACTGAAAACTACTGTCATTCACATAAATCCACAACCCTGTACTGGGGTATTTAAGTTTGATTGGCCGAGTCGAGCTGAGTCGATCCAGCTATGTGTGTCGTCCGTCCGTCGGCGGTCAATGCTAAGTTGTAATTATGCTACAGATTTG